AGTATAGTGTAGCCCTCTTGATAAACACGGACTGCTTGGGTCACTTGTACATCTGCTTGGACCCCATTTTTTGACACTTTATTCTACTAGGAGATGTTGACTGATACATTTCTTATTTATCACATGATTTGCTTCTCGCTTTTGACTCGAGTCAGGAGCATATGGCCCGAAACCACATTCTGCTCTCGAGCATTTTAATTTAAAAGATATTTATTAGCATTAGTTAAACAAAACTACCTTAAATGTAGCCAGTATGTACAAAAGCAACTTCAGGAATCATATTTTAAATTGTAAATGATTTTATGGGGGAGATTATGTGACTGATTCTCCAACCTGTGTTTCAGTGCCCCCTGTCTGGCCTCCTCCCTCGCTGGCAGATGCAAACTCTGCTCCTCTGCTTTTCCAACTAGGAATGAAGAATTTCTCTAAATAATTACTTGAGTAAATGGGAGCACAGGAGATTTCTGTTCCCCCTTCCCAAAGATGTTACTTTGTTGGAAGTTGCTCTGCCCCATTTCAGCACATCCTGGTTAAATGGTGATTTCAGCCATTCACCCCGACTTGCTTATGCTTCAAGAGAGCTGGAGAGGAACTTGGGGCAAGGGATGGAGGGACAGGACAAGGGGGAATGGCTTCCCACTGACAGAGGGCAGGGTTAGATGGGATATTGGGAAGGAATTGTTCCCTGTGAGGGTGGGGAGGCCCTGGCACAGGTTGCCCAGAGAAGCTGTGGCTCCCCCATCCCTGGAAGTGTCCAAGGCCAGGTTGGAGCAACCTGGGCTAGTGGAAGGGGGTGGAACGGAATGATCTTTAAGGTCCCTTCCAATCCAAACCAGTTTGGGATTCTGTGATAATTAGCATGGCCTGCAAAAGGCACCAGCAACCCTCAACACTGGAGTCACAGTGGACTTCCTGCAAAATAAATGGACAAAGCTTATTTTAGCCAGATTTTCAAAGACGTGTGTGCACATCTCCCAGTTGTTCCCTGTGCTGAAGGAAAGCCTAAGTGGAGCCTGGGGGATGAGGAGGTGGCCTTTCAGGTGGGGTGGTGGCCTAGAGGATGGGGTGGTGCCACCATGGCTTGGGGATGTTCTGCTGAACACTGAGGTGCCCCTTGCCCAGGCTGCACTGAGGAATTCCACCAGGGGTGATGGCTGGTCCTGCACCAGTGTCACCGCCACCGACCCCAGGCCGGAGTCTTTGGTTTCAAGATTATTTCTGAGATTTGCTCTGTGACTGCTGAGGGTCAGAGACACCCAGTGGAGTCCAGGGCATTGCTGCCCGTTTGCACAGAGAGCTGAGGGACAGCAGATGGCTCACATGGATCAGCCCATACTCACTTGGCTGAAATATTTCCTAGGTATTAAACTTGTGATTGTTTTTATTTTGCAAAGTTTGAGGAGAATACCCTGGCCCTTTCCTTCCTTATTGGGCTTTTCTACCTCCACATACCATGTACAATCAGAGGAAATGATCTTCCCATTCTTTGGGTGGACATGTGCTCTCAAGCACCACAGGTGCAGGAGATCTGGGATTAAATCATCCTGCAGCCTTAGGATGGGCTGGGGTTTGCTGCACTGGGCACTGCACAGGTGCTGAACTAAACTGAGCTGTTTGTAAAAAAATTGTCAGACAATTGCATGTTTGGAAACTGGAAAGTGTGTGAAGGTGTATGCTGGTGGCACTTTTGGTGAGAATGTCTTTCCACATCCATGGAGAACTTAAACCTTGAATACATAATCACGTTCTAGAGTAGAAAACTCAAGTAAACCATATTTCCACGCAGAACTTGCCCCATCTGCTACTGGATCACTGACACTTTTTTCTGTGTTTTGTTTTCCCACCTTAAATAGGCCACACCAAATCTTGACAAAAGCTCTGTCTGCTGCAGCAAAGGGTGAGAGGAGGGGAGATCCTGGTTTTGATCCATGGCCTGTTTTACCAGGAGACCATTACAATGTACAGGTGGAGGTTTGGTGCTGGACTGGTTAATCTTTTGAAGACTGTGCTGGGATAACATCCTGGAGAGGGTCAAAATTTAGTGGAGGCTGGGGCAGGGTGATCTGCAAGGTCCCTTCCAACCCAAACCAGTCTGGGATTCTATGGATGGGCTTATTTCAGCATCCAGAAACCTTTAAGACAGGTAGATCTGATCACATCCAGACTTAGCTCAGTGTTCAGGTCTAATGGATCATCTTCAGGAGCATCCTGGGTGTGGGAAACCATCTAGACTGAGTGCCTTTTTTCCCTCTTTTTCTTATAAAAAAGGTTTTCCTCGGCTTTGCTGCTGAGGAAACTCCCCAGCACTGGGGGGGTCACTGCTGTACCTCCCTTGCTGTGCCCTTCCTGCAGGTCGTGTCCTTTGCACTGGTCTGTGCCGTGTCCTGAGAGAGCAGAGTCCATGAATTGCTGATGGAAAGAGGTCAAAAAGCAAAAAAATGGCATTGTAAATAATAATAAAAAAGGCAGAGAAGAGAAGTCAGGCAGGGCAGACTGGGGAAGGTAAGCAAAAATAGAAGTAAGTAATAAAATCGTGTGCTGGCCCCAGAAGGGGCCGTGCAGTGGGTGGGGGATGGTCGGGGTCCCCACGTCACTTATTTCCATCAATTCATTCTCTCATCCCCAAATGCAGATCTGAAAAGGAACATGAAATGGATGCCATGCATGGTGGGGTTGGGGTGGGAGGTGAATCCCACCCGAGGCACAGCCAACATGGGTGTGTGACCAGGAATGGAACACGGCATCGAGAACGGCTGGGCACGGGCACTGTGACCCCTGCAGGGGGGCACCCAACATCAATGTGTGTGGGAGAAAGGCTTGCTTATGTGGAGGATGAATGACTTTGCAATCTCAGAGAGTTTTCCAAAGTTGAGGCTGGCTCTGTGCTTCCCAAACAGGAATATTTTCATTTTTGGGAATATTTAGTGGCGAGGTGCCGTGGGGTGTTCAGGCAGGGCCCAGGCTGTGCCTTGGGCTTTGTCCTCAGGATTTGGTGCCTTCCATGAGCACTAGGCCTGGTGACCCAGAGGGTGGTGGGGCACTGACCAGGCTCCCCAGGGCAGTGGGCACAGCACCAAGGCTGCCAGAGCTCCAGGAGGGTTTGGACAAGGCTCTCAGGAATTATTGGGGTGTCTGTGCAGGGCCAGGAGCTGGACTGGATGGGATTCCAGCTCAAGATGTTCCATGGTTCTATGATTTGGCAGGTTGTTTTCCCATGGAATTTTAATGGCAGGAGCCTGGACAAGGTCCCTGTGATCGGGGATGTGGCTCTGGGTGACCTGCAAGGTTGGGTTGTTCACAAACTCTACACAGACAGGAATTGTAACGTGCTCCATCGCTGGGGATTCCGAGGCCCCAACACCCCACAAGGTTTCTCCCTGGCTCTATAAAGTCTCCTTTCTCCCCTTTTTTTCCCCCCTTTTTTTGTACACACAGATCTAATCTTCTAGAAAATGCCCCGAAGGTTTGAGCAATCTACCAGTTGCAGGAACCCATAAAGCTTTTTTTTTTTTTTCCATTGTGTAAGCATGACAAATCATTAATTTTTGATTGATTGCTTTGAATTATGGGTGCTCTGACATCCTTTCTGTAGCTGAACAGCTGTATAACAAATGAACATATCAGTGCTCACAAAAGATTGGAGATCTAACAGAAGCAATTACATTGTCAGCTCCTCCCTTCTGGCTTTTCCCAGGCAATGGAGGGAGGAAATTTTTTAACAGAAATTCCTCAAGTGGCTCAAAATAATAATATTAATAATCATCATAATAATAAAAAAATACCTTTTTGTAATTGAATTAGATTTTTATCTCTTCATTTCCAGTGGATTTCATATCCTTTCAGAAGCCAGGATGTGTTTCTGCTTTGTGTAACTCGGAGAATCCCTTTGAAGAAAATTTTACATAAAGAATTAAAAAAAAATAAAATCAAATTGCAATTTTTTGGTTGCTATTCCTTTAAGATTTCAGAATTGCACCAGTGCACTAAATGTGACCTCCATAACTTTTAAATTAAGAATTTATGCTGGCTTGAAATTTATGAAATATTTCAGCATGAAAGAAAGCCTTTTTCCCTCAGGAAAATTGAGCAATAAATCACAGCACTCTCGATTTACTGCCCTACAGCCAGCCAAAGATAGGATTTTTTTCCTTCCCCCCTTCGTTCTGAAAAAAAAAAAAAAAATAAAAAAAATGTAATCATATAAGACAGCTTAGCTGCTATCCTCCCACTCTCTAGAATTTTTAATTTCAGCTGTTTCTGCTTGGATTTATTTCCAATATTCCTGCTCGGCTTTTCAATTTCCTCAGTTATTAAATTTTAATTCAGTGCATTAGCATTTAAATTAAAAAAGGGTTTATTTTATCGAAATCGTTGGCTGGCCCCCATCCTGCTGCACATGAATTGCCTGTTTCTGCCATTTGCACAAAATGTGAAATGCAGCTAATATCTTTTAACTTGTATTTGCACAAATTCAGAAATAAAATTTCTGGGTTTGGAATAATATTGTCTTTCCAAGGAAGGCTCATCAGTGAGCCGGGGAAGGAGGCAGGAGGAGACCCCGAGCCCTCCCTGCTCAGCCCTTGTGGCCTGGAGAGGCTCATTAGGACATCATTAGGACATGGGTTCCTAACGAAGGGAGGTGGCCGGGCTGCCCCTCCAGCCCAGGACTTGGACACAGCCTGGAATTTGGCTGTTTCTGCCTTATTTCCCACCTGACAATGGCATGTTTTAAATAGGAGGGATCGTTCCGTTAGACTTTGGTTGCACAAGAGCGACCGGAGGGAACTGGCCCAGGGGGTGCCTCCATGGTGGGGCTGGGGCTGAAATCCTGCCCCAGTCGCCCACATTCCAGGGTAAGGGCCCAGTGGGTCCCACCAGTGCCAAGGTGTGTAACTCAGCATGGAAAACCTCCAGTGTTTGGGTGCAGCCTGGAGCTGGAAGCTTCTGCAGAGCAGCCTTGTCCTTCTCAACTTAAACAACCTTTTTTTTTGATGTCTTAGGCCGACGAGAGCAACAGCAGTGGGCAGAGGAGCTCCTCCAGCAGGTAGGGATGGTTTTCTCTGCTGGGCTTTGCTTGGATGTGGTTGTCCATCTCGGAGCTGGGGGTGGTGAAGGGTGACTGCAGGACAGGCATGAGTGGGAGCTGTCAGAGCTCAGCATCCATACAGCCATTTTTGGGTTTCACTAAACATGAGTGTAGGAGGGATTGTTCTGGCCTGGGGGCTGCAAGAAGAGGTGGTTTGTGTATGGTGTGAGGTGGCACAGCTGAGTGCACAGGCCATGGCACGATGAGGCTCTTGGATGGAGACCTTGGGCCGTGTGTGGTTGGGTGTGGACCCTCCTGCTCCCATGTAGGGGGAGAGGAGAGGAGAGGGCTGTCCCACCACCCCAGCCCCCTCTGATACTGCTAAGGGGCATCTCTGCTGCTCCCAGTCCTGCTAAGCTGGGTCTGCCCTGTGCTGTGGCTTTTCCATCTCCCACTGATGCTGTGGGATGTCTTACCTTGCTGGGCCCACTGCCCTTGGCAGCACAGCAGGAGCACCAGTGAGCACCAGTGAGCTCCAGTGAGCACCAGTGAGCACCAGTGAGCTCCAGTGAGTACCACTGAGCACCAGTGAGCACCACTGAGCACCAGTGAGCACCAGTGAGCTCCAGTGCTCCTCTCAGCTCTCCCAACCTCCTTCAGCTCAAGTGCATCTTGTGTCCTCCCCTTTGTATCTCCAGTGACACCATCTCTCCAGTGACCACATACTGGACCACCCTCCTGTCCACTCCAGGGACTTGAAAGCCCTGCAGAAATTTTATTCCTCAGGTGAAACAGGTCCTCCCACGTTAAAAGCCTGCTCTGTTCTGATCTCCAGACTCTGGGTGTGGATCCTCTCCTTGCCTCCTGCTGCTGAACGTGCTCAGTCCCTGCCTGGTTTGAGCGTTCCCACCGTGGTGGCTGGTCCCTGCCCACTGCCCTGGCTCTGCCAGTGGTGTGTCAGGATGGAACACCCTCATTCCTGGCACTGTTCTGCTCCGGTGGCACTGCCTGGCATTGAACACCTCTGGGGAGCACTGGGTGTCTGTCACAGAGGAAAAGTTCCCTTCCCCAGTTTGGGGGGGACTCCTCAGGGTGGTCCAGCAGTTCTGGCTCTTAGGATGCTGGGAATTAGCCTGAACAAAGTGCTGGAAGGAAAACACAGGCTGAGGAGCCAGGGATCGCTGCCTTCCCCTGCATTCTGTGTTCCCACTCTAACTCAGTTTTGCAGCTCTCACCAGAGGGTCTTGCAGAGCAAGGGGCGAGTTCATCCCCCCTGTGGCAGCTGATCCCTCAGGGTGTCCCTGTGGGTGTCCTCCCTGCCCAGGGGTGCCCTTGGGGCCGAGCACCTGAGACCCCTCCTGGTGTGAGCAATGCCCTTCCCAAGGGCAGGGATGGAGCTCCCAGCAGCCTGGGATAAATTCCTGCCCTTACCCCTGTTCCTGTGTACGCACAGAGGAGTGTGGGGCTGGTCACTGCTTTTCCCTTGGAGAAAAGTGGAAGCAAAACCCACTTTGTCATCTCTCTGACTGAACAAAAGGTGGTCAAAGAAAGGAAAATAACCAATTCTGTTTAAAAATAATAGAACAGCATCAAAATGTAATATTTCAAGAAAGCTCTATCAGTGGTTGAAGTTTGAAATGTGGCTTTGACTAAATTTGTGAGGTTGTCAGTGGATGGAGATGTTTTCCAGAGTTGTTGTTGCTTGAAACCCTCTCTAATTGCTAACTATTGAGGAAACTTTTAACAATTAATATCAGTAAAAATATAAGAATAGAATAGAATAGAATAGAATAGAATAGAATAGAAAAGAATAGAATAGAATAGAATAGAACAGAATCAAAATAAAGTTGCCAGGACTTTTATCAATTATTATCAGTAAAAATATAATATAATACTATAATCAAAATAAAGTTGCCAGGACTATCTTTTTGCAACTAGTTTTTTTTACTATACAATGCTTTATCTTAAGTGGTGACGATAGTACTGAGTCCATCCTATTTTTATTTTTTTGTTGTACTGAATTGATTTTATTCTGTTTCAAGTAAATGCTGATGGCTCCGGAGGCACAGGGGTTTATGATCTCACCACTCCCAGCTCTGCTGGGCCTGGTTTTGCCTTTGGAAGGACACGGGTCACTCTGTGCAGCTGAGAGTTCATGGTGGCTGTTCTCCTCCCTGATTAACTTTGTATGGTTCCTCCACCTCACTGAATGCTCAGTAATGGGAAATTTTAAAAGTGAAGAGAATTCTTAGGAGCATAGAAAAAAAGCCCTTCCTTTAAGGGAGCAGGGAGAGCTGTTTGCCTTGGAGAAGATGACAACTAAGAGACAACATGACAAAGCTGTGCATGTTTTTGAACACTCCAGAAAAGGTAGATCAGAGGCTTCTTTCTTCCTTTTGCAAGGAAAAAAGAGACAGTCAACAATATTAAAAGGCAGCAAATTAAAAGCCAATAAAAGGCAGGATTTTTCCTTGCATGATGGGCACTGATCTGCTGGATTGTGATGCCAAGAGTCGGGTGCTCAGGGGGGCTCGGAGGGGACTCAGCTGGAAGATGGATCAGTGGGTGACATGGGCTCTGAAATTCATGGAATCACAGGAGGGTTTGAGTGGGAAGAGACCTTAAAGATTGTCTCATTTCACCCCCCTGCCATGGGCAGGGACACCTTCCACTAGCCCAGGGTGCTCCAAGCCCCGTCCAACCTGGCCTTGGACACTTCCAGGGGTGGGGCAGCCACAGCTTCCCTGGGCAACCTGTGCCAGGGCCTCACCCCCCTCACAGGGATTTCTTCCCAATATCCCATCTGGGATGGGCAGTAACCCTGCCCTCTGGCAGTGTGTGCTGGTTTAAAGGTAAACCAGCAGGGGAAAATGAACTCAACCCAAAAGAGAGATTATAAGTCAGAATAACAATTTAATAAAATAATACAGTAAGTACAATTATACAGACAAACAATTGGTTTTAACCCACAAAACCCAAATGTATAACCCAGTACCCCGGGGCATGAACAGAGTGGTGTTCTTTGGGCCCCCCCTTGAGTCCAAAGTAAAGGGAAAGGGGGGAAACCTGTTGGTGAGAGAGCTGTTGCAGTCTGGTCAAGAGTGGTGGTTGCAGTCCAGTCGAGAGCGATGAGCTGCAGTCTTCCTCCGGATCCCAGGAGTGGTTAAAAAGGTCCCAAGACTCCAAGATTATATATCCTCCAGTTCAGGCAGGAATGCTCAGTACCTCCCTCAGGGCGGGGAGTTCCTTAATGGGTGTGAGGACAAGAGCAACTCCTATCTCACAGGCCTCTTAGCACCCAGTTTATAGCCTGAGGAGTCAGGCTCTATGGGCAGAGGGTGTAAATGGTTCATTGATAACAGTTTCTGGGAAATGGCATGGAGACTATAGAATACACAGGTTTGGGTTACACCCATCCAGTGATGAACTGGTCTCAGCTGTTCTAACTAGGACACAGTGGGAAGCCATTCCCCCTTGTCCTATCCCTCCATCCCTTGTCCCCAGTCCCTCTCCAGCTCTCCTGGAGCCCCTTTAGGCCCTGGAAGAAGCTCTCAGCTCTCCCTGGAGCCTTCTCTTCTCCAAGTGAACTCCCCAGCTCTCCCAGCCTGGCTCCAGAGCAGAGGGGCTCCAGGCTTGTGATCAGCTTAGTGGCCTCCTCTGGACTCGTTCCAACAGCTCCATGTCGTTCCTGTGTTGAGGGCCCAGCATGGACACGGTCTGGCCCCGTCCCGAGGGTGAGCACATGGCTGGGGATCACTTCCCTTGCTCATGTTCATTGGAGAGTTTCTTGAAGCTTCTTCAGAAGCCCCTTCTGCACATGGTGGACCAGACTGGGTGTCCTCCAGTGGTGTGAGTGTGTGTGACAGTCCTGGAGGGGTTGGTGGGATGGCAGGGCAGTGTGGGAACAGCACTGGGAGCCTCAGGCTCGGGGTGAGTGTTGGGAGCCTCCATAATGCCATTGTAAAACTAACTACTTCCCAATAATTAATGTCAGTGTTCAGATGGTGGGCTCTGGATCTTGACAAGAAATAATTGAAAAACCAAATGTGCAATTATGTCTGACAAGCAGCGTGTGCTTTTCTTGGTCACCAGAGCCTTGTGTAGTCATGTGTTAGACACGGTTTTATATAATTATTATTGTTTATATGGCGGGTGTCAGAGGAAGGAGGAATTTTAGTTTCAAGTCCTCTGTTGGCTATTTATTTTAAAGTCATTAGATTTGTTTTCAGACTTAACTACACTTAATGTGCGAGACTCCTGCTGAATAAATCAGACCCTGATATAGGAGCTGCATCTGTTTGCGGAGGGAACGGAGCCAGCTGGAAGCTGAGCCCAGCCCTGTCTGCACCAGGGCTGTCACAGCCGGGGAACCCGCTCGCAGCACAGATGTAGCTGTGGAAAAGTGTGCTCTGCTCCCGGAACAGGGGTGAAATCCCAGACCTTCAGGGCTCTGAGCTGCCTGTGAGGGCACAGGGGGGGGCTCTCATTTATTGCAGTGTTAACAGCTCTGTGATGCAGGTCCTGAGAAGGATCTGGAGATGGAGGTGCAGCAGAAGGGCTCTGGGTGCTGCCCTCAAGCAAGACAGTGCTGTGCAGGCAGGGGCATTTCCAAGAGGTGCTTTGGGACGGGACCTGGAGGTCCCCCAGCACTGACATGGTGCAGTTTTCCCTGATACTCTGGACCAAGCCACAGGGCTTGGGTAGTTTGGGGGTTTCAGTCTCTGTCTTAGAAGATGTGACCTTCATAGAATCACAGAATGTCCTGAGTTGGAGGGGACATACAGGGATCATCCAGTCCAGCTCCTGGCCCTGCACAGACACCTCAGCAATCCCACCCTGTCCCTGAGAGCATTGTCCAAACACTCCTTGAGCTCTGGCAGCCTTGGGGCCGTGCCCACTGCCCTGGGGAGCCTGGGAGGAGAAGGTCTTGAGAAGTGGTTGCACCTATGTTGCTTCTTCTCAGTTCACCTTTCTCCAGCCTCCCTGGCTGCATCTTCCCCTCTCCTCCCCACATTCCT